ATCACTCACCCACACCAGATGGAAAACTCTACAGACTGTCGGTTCACACCCATATATATATATATATTGTCACAGTGTGAATCAGAGCGCAGAAGCGAAAAAAAGAAAGGAAAAGGAAAGGAAGAGAAAAGAAAAAAGGGGGAGAAGAAGAGGTAAGGAAAGCTCCACCTGTTCATAACCTCTTACGTACAAGGCCAGCCACGTGGATGACAGGTTGAGCGCTGGCTGCCCCCATCCCCGTGTGTCATAAAGACCCACTTGCACGCAGCCAAAAGGCAAAAAGGGTAAAGAAAAGGCGGAGGAAACCAAACCTCACAGAAGAAGAAAGCCTATTAAAYAGACGAAGCAAGTACACATCCCACAGRTAATCCAATTACCATCCCACAGAACATRTTTTTCTTTTTTCTTTTTCCTTTTTTCTTTTTTTCTCAGGTTTCTTTTTTTGTGTTTTTCTTTCCTCGGTTTCTTTTTTTATCTTTTTACTCGGTTTCTTTTTTTATCTGTTTCTTCTACACTTCATCTGTCACCCCCTCGGCAGATAGGACAACTACGGTGAGGATGACGGGGATGTTCACAGGGATACCCAAGGAGAGCTGCGTTAGTGCAGCATTCAGCCGGACGGCTAGCACGAACCATCCCATCGAAACAATCCCGACATAGGACATGTTGCCCACATGTCAAGAAAACAACAGGACGTTCGTCACAGTGCGGCATCATGCAGTTCTGATAGCATCCTTGGGAACAGAAAGGACAACGCACATCTGGGTGATAGGGATGTACACAATGAGGAAATGTTAGACACCCTTCCGCACATACGGCGGCAGTCGCAGTGGATTGATAATGGTGCTGACACAGATAATGCACTCCACAACCAAGACGCACCACGTCTCTATCCCGACAAATGTCGCACGAGAGACGCTCAACAATCCAGAACAGTGTATGATTTGACAAACCTCGCAAATATTCATTTATGTTGACAATAACCTGAATCACCGTCCCACCATTCCACAGTTCCCACTGGGCAGCTGCACGAAAGAGGGCCATATAGTGCCCGGGTTTGTGCAAAATGCATGCAAGAATATAGGACGGGCATCAAGGTCCTCGCCTGGCGTCCCATAATGCATGACAAGGTGGCGACCGTGAAACGCTAACTGTAAGACATTTATAGTAAAGCCTGAGGTAGTATAATTACTGTCCTCAGGAGGTAGACCATTATGGTCATACCACAACTCATTTTCAAYAGCRTCAAGMTGATAAGCAATTGTAAGAAATTGAGATACAGTATAACCTTGACGCTGATAAGCTCGCAGACAAACATTCGTGGCTGTCAGGCCACAAATGTTTGGTAGATCTGCTCGCAAATCCGAGTCGGTCACCACTGGAAGGCCCGGTCTGATTTGGCGCGGTCGGCGTTTAATTGACGAACGCCGACGAACGCCGTCGACGTACCAAAGCAGGTTGTCGGTCAGACAACGAACCAGGATCAATACGACGCCGAGAGGAAGGGGGACTAGGAGGTGGGGAGAATGAACGAGCCTGCCGCCGTCCTAATATAGACAACGAAGATAAGGGAAGGGCTGATCTCAGTCGACGGTGTTGATAAGAAGAAGAAGAAGAAGAAGAAGAAGAAGAGGAGGAGGAGGAGGAGGAAGAAGAAGAAGAAGAAGAAGAAGAAGAAGAAGAAGAAGAAGAAGAAGAAGAA